TCTGGGCTAGCTTGAGCATGCAGATTCTCCGTGCCATGGGTAAGCCATGGACCTTCAATGAGCTGTGAATTCCTAAATCCCCTTTCAAAAGTGATTCTGGCACTTGCATGCATTTGCAAGTCTTACATCTGGCACTTTAATGCTGACACTGGCTTTTTATATCACAGGAAATACCATACAGAGAAGCAAGGCACGACTCCTGCATGTCATGATTCCTCTGTGCTTTAGCCAGTCAGCTACTATCTTTAGCTACCTTAACTGCTAAATAGGAATTCAGGTGCTTAAGACCTAAAAGGTGAAGGTTTTAATTTACAAAGTGTTTATAAATCTGATTTATTGTCTATTTTTTAATGGATGAAGGAAACAAGCTTTGAACCCATCAAGCTGCATTGAAATTAGCATCTGCCTATTGCTCACTAAGTATGGGTCTGGTCGGGATGAGATTTTTAGGAGAGAAACAGTTCCCAACTTGCTGATTGTTCTTCTTTTACACACTGGTAGTGTTTAGAGTTTGCAGTCGTGTTTTGCTGGCAAAATAAAGAGATAGGCCCAGGCTAAAGAACTCACGAATTATACCAACATGGGGGGCCAGGATAACAGCAACCACCATTAACAGGAAGATTCACTAGGATTCACTAGACCAAAACGCAGAAGATGCTGGGCTTAACAAACAAACAAACAAACGAAATTCAAGCCAAAAAATGAAAATTCGTAACAAACTAATGAAGCTTGGTCTGCAGGGAATCAGCCTCTTTAGAGGCAAAGTGGGATGCTCTCCCCAGGGCCCCTCCTCTCCGACTACCTAATGTTATGGGGCCTTTAGGAATGCAATTAGCACCAAGACATTTCCTCCTTTGTCAAATACCCTGGAAGGTGGCCAGGCAGTTCAGAAGTTACTGGGACACACAGCAACCTGCAAAGGACAAGCCCTGGCTCCACAGAGGATGGCAGGCTCAAAGCAGGAACGAGTAAAAGCCAGAGCAGGGTGCTGAAGCTGCCAGCATAGAATGTGCTATCCAAAATTTTCTGTCTTCCCCTCCAGTGACAGCAGCCAGTGCAAATGCACCAGTGCGACCTTTGAGCTATCTCTTTCCCTAGAAAAACATCTAACAAATGCATTTGAGGGTATAGAAGGTGACTTCCTGCTGTTTCAAAACACATTTTGCAGGGAATAATCCATTCATTTTTCAAAGGAAATGTAGGAAGAAACCTGTCTTTTGGAGGGGCTAGAGAACAGAGCAAGAGCACTTAAGCAATCTGTTCTGTATGTCCATTCCAAAACACATTGAACTATGGTTTGAAAAAGCTATTACTGGATTTAGGTAGCAATAAAACAAACACTGCTGATTTATTAGTAGCTGGATGCTGCTTTAATTTACTTTTACCGGGTATCATAAATGATTATTTTCCCATTCTTTTCTCACAAAGGCACTTTAAAGCTCATGTTAATAATGAAAATAATGGACTTAGGGCCTACAGCCATCTCTACAAGAGAACTCATAGGTCTATTTCCAACCCGGAATAATAAAATCCTTGTTTCTTCTTAGACCATTTCCCACTCAAAATCTGCTTCTCTACTTCATGTGGGCCACAAAAGGCAAAAAAAAATATGTCTGAAACACAGACAAAATGATGTGCCAGGATTAGAAATGAAGCTTGGAATAAAAATTTCCTTGCTGGACAAAGGATTGAGTACCAACAAGGAAGAATTCCAAAGTTTATTTCAGATCAAAAAAACCCTCTGTCTTCAGAGCCTGAGAATATTAGATTTATTTGACGCAACAAATGTTTCTGTAAACCCAAGCATCAGCTGCTCACGTTGGTGATTTGAAGCACAGCACTGCAGCTTGGCCCCAGGAACAGCAGGATTCATTCCTCTGGTGCCCCCAGGCAGGGTTCACACTCCTGTCTGAGACAAATGATCAGGCAACTACAACCCACTCCTCTGCCCTTTAAGGTGGAGGCTCAGAAGGAAAGAAAAATAACCAAACTCAAGCAGAGCAAAGTAGCTCTGGTTTTCCAGTTGTGATAAATCAAGGAAGCTGCATAGATGGGCCAGAACTTAGGAGTATGTAATATACGAGAGCAATTTCCCTCCAAGCTTTGTGTTGTGCTAGTGACTCAATGGGACAGACTTTATTCTGGCTTACAAATGCTAAGGATGGTCATGGAACAAAGTGCTCAGAGCACTGCCGGGATGAGGCATAGAAAAGGCTTGACCACATAATATGGAAACGGATTTGTGCGTGTGTGGATTTCCAGTGTTCAGCTTGAGCAAGAACCTTTTCTTCCATCTTCCTTCCATTGTTCCTTAAACTTTGGTCACTTTGAAGGGGTTAGTCTTAGCTGTAAGGTCAGGGATAGGCACTAACATGTTTGTGGTGGTGTCTTACGCAGCAGCTTGGCACATGAAAAGGCATTTAAGAGGGGACAGAGACCCACTGTGCTTCAACTCAGGTTGGTCTGAAAAGTGTTTGAAATATGGTCACCAGAAACTCACCAGAGGCACAAAGCATCTTCTAAAGTAAAAGACAACTCCATAGAGCATATAAAAATCCTTTATAGCCCTAATGAGTTCCCCTTACAGGCCTACAAGCTAGGCAATTCCAGAACAAGGAGCAAAACAGTGGTCTGCCAGCAAAATAACAGTTCCATCCAAGCTGCTGTTTCAGTTCTGCATTTGGCAAAACCTTGCTGACACAATCCCACAGTGAAGGGACTCAGCAAGAGCTGCACTCACTTGGGTGTGTGTCAGGAAGACAGGGTGATCCAGAGACAGATATTGGGGGAAGAAGTGACAGAAGGCACATGGGGGAAGTACTTTCTGCACATTGTATGAACAGAAGAGTTACCTCCATGCAGTGGCCCCAGATGGGCTCCTGAACACATGTGACAAACTCCACTGCTGCTGAAGCATCTGTACTATGCTGGTAGACTGAGAAACCCAGTCCCTAGTTAAAAACACAGGTTTTGCACCGTTTTGTAGGTAGGAGAGAGCACACTTATACAAGCGATTCTGTTTCTTTATACAATATGAAACTGCCATTGGTTGGGGCTGTGCTGGGCACTCTGTACCAGACCTCTGCATGCAGCAGGACACAGCCCTGCGGTGCAAGGTCTAGGTCCTCAGATGCTCCCTACATGCTGGAGAAATGCCAAGCCCCACAGACTGACAAAACTGGCTTTAGATGTTATGTCATTGGCAGAGCACTTGCAACAGCTCAGATTTAAATTCCAGCAAGTTGAGTGCTAAAACAAAAACAAAACAATAGAAATACCAGGGAGCATAGCAAGAATAACACCACTCCACACAGGCTTGCTAGACTTTATCCTATCCTGCAGCAAAGATAAGGCTCAGCCTATTCTTATTTTTCTTTTAAAGCTGTAAAAAGGACTTTTAAATATGTTTAAAACTCTCTCCAATCCCAAAAGAACTATTCTAGTCTTCATCAGAAGTCCTCCACAAAGAAAGCACGTACAATAACAACTACAAAAATTATTTTGCTGCAGGTTGGTAGAAATGGGGCACTCTGTGAAAGGAAATTCAAGTAAGGAGTTATACAGGTGGGTCCTCCTCTTGTGGTATCAGATGCCATATCAGTAGCTTCCAATCTCTCTTTAGCATCACTCTCTGCCAGCAAACAGAGCCAACCCATCTCTTCAGTGGAATGATGCTATGAAGACATAGTCATATGGAGAATTCCCAGACAATATTGTCCCCATTTACATGTACAGTTGGCTTTAATTTTCCCCACTTACCTGAAACACGCTCTAGGTGACCCTGTGTGTGCAGGGGGGTTGGACTAGATGACCTCTAGAGGTTGGTTCCAACCTTAAGCATTCTATAATTCTATGAAAATAGCCTTTTTTTTTTTCCCCTCCTCATTCCTGCATCTTTAGAGTTAGCTACTAATTCTCCAAGTCTTGAAGAGCCCACAGAGAAGCTGATAAACAACTTCCTCCCTCTGTTGCAGAGGGATCCCCAGACAGAGAAGCTGATAAACAACTTCCTCTGTTGCAGAGGAATCCCCAGGACTCCATTTCCAATTGCTGCTAAAAGATTGTGTGGGTGGACGCCTGCCTAACTTGTAGGCTGTGCAAAAGCTCTACTAGCTACTCTTGAGGAAAATGAGCAAAACCAGCTTCTACTCAGCTAATAACATGATAGCCTCAAACAACTAGAAGTTTACAGACAAATGTTCATCCACCATCTGCTATCCAACTCGCAGGAAACTGCATTATAAAATAAATGGGGGAGAAAAACCTCTGCTTTCCCAGAAAACAAGTAGAAAGTAGCTATTGTGCAGGCTTATGCTAGAGGCAAGACAGCCTTCACAAAACTGGACATGGTTTTGGAAATTTTGTCCAAGTTTTTCAGTTTAGGAAGTATTTTGCTTGTTTGAAAAAAGACAAGTTTTGAGGAATAATGTTTTCCTCTGTTCTAGCTGAACAAATTATGTCCAAGGACTAATCCAGACCATATGTGCAAGGTAAATTATGTGACCTCAGAATGAGGAAGTAAAGCTATATTAGTAAACACTACTAAATATTTTTCAACTTAGCTTAAGCAAAAATGGACATGCAGCATCTTTATCAGTGCATAGAAAGACTATACATGATAGATCTCCAGGAATATTCAGTGAAAGTTCTCCAATAAGTAACACAATTTTTAATACAGTGTAATAAAACAAACAGCCTTTCCTTTCACCTGTGCTGCATCCGTGGATTACTCCAAGGGTTTAATCTTTAATAAAGATTATTTCTATCTGTGTAGGGATGGATAGCACTTGTAGAAGAAATCAATCTAATAAGTCACAAAAAGCTTCGGAGAATTAAAGCCTGTGAAGGTTTACTCTTTCCTAAGACTAGACTTCAGAGTAGAAGAAATGCATGTGGTTATCCAAACCGAGCTCAAAATCATTGAGTTAGACTTCTCAGTCTGCTCGTTTGGTTGGGTTATGTGCAACAGAGGAGGGCAGAAAGGGTTGGAAGGTGCCTACCTGAGCAGAGGACACCCTTGTAGCGGGCACACGAGAAGTCATCGCACTCGCAGAAGGACCCGTAGATGTTTCCGAACTCGCTCTCGTAGCAGACGCACTGGTTGCAGCTGCACTCCCCTCTCCCGCTGCAGATGGGCTTGCCTTCCACCTCCCGGCACATGTTGTGGTACGTGTTCCCGTGGGCGCCCTCCTCACACTCGCACTTGGCGCCCAGGTAGCCCGTGTCGCACTCGCACAGCCCGCAGGAGTAGGTCCCGTTCCCGCTGCACTTGCTGCTCTCCCGCTCAGCCCTGCTGGTGCACCCACAAATGCAGTTGTAGGTCACCACGACCTCCAGCGTGTCCCGAAACCCAGCAGGCTTGATGGTGAACACGTGGGAGGTGTCCTCAGCGGGACAGCTTCGTGCTTCTACTGCCACCTCAAAGGAAACCTGAAGGGGAAAGTTGAGATGTAAGTGAAGAGAAGTTAATGTCACTCAAGTTGCTCACGGGGGCTCAAGGGACAGCACAGCCCTGCAGGGAAGGCCTTGGAGAGGATGCCCCAACTGTCCTGAGCTCTGTCACTTATCTACAGTGGCAACACACTTCCCTGGATGGCAGGTGGATCTTGATGGTCAGTGGTTGTCTCAGCTTTGCCATGACACAAATCATGTATAAAAGATGTAAGTCTGCAGAGCTTCAGGAAGTTGAGGTTCAGACTTTTTTTTTCTCTTCCAGAAAGCACCAAGCAAAAGCCCAGCAGAGGTCCTTCTAGGCCCTTCATCTACACTGGGAAGAACATCTCAGACAAGGGCTGACCACGTCTGCCACTGTCACTAGTCCTCAGCAAGGCCACAGGCTCACCAGCAAGCAAGCAAGGCTGGTAAGCAAAGGAAGGAGGAAACTGCAAGTGTGTTGATGAAAGCCATGGAGTGACTCCATTGTGGAGTGCCACCCTGAGCACACCAACTTTCAATCCCAAGTGTGAAAAAAGCATCCGAAACAATCTGGGAACTAACAAAGATATAGGCAGGTCAACATACAGAAAACTGCCCATGACATACTTAGGGGTTGAGGCATCCTTAAATCCATTTTTGTCGTGTTTGTATAAACAAGGGAAACCAGAACACCACGTGATCCAAACAGAAAGAGCACAGGAATAAGCCTGATGTTTCATCTCAGCCAATGACGTAAGACAGAGGGGAAGAAAAAACAAAACAAAATGAAAAACAAACAGGGAAATGTTAAGAAAGCACAGCCAGCCATCTTTTTTGTTTTGTTTTCTGTTAAGTAAGTATAGCCCCAGTGGTCCACTCCAGGCTGAGGGGAAGGTTTTTGCTAGGTCAGACAGGCTCTGCATCATCGACCACAGAAGCTTTGTCATCCCTGGACACCCCTGACATCCCCTTTAGTGCCTCCCTGCAAAGTGCCTACTGGACCTTTCCAGTTCCTTCTGAGCAGACACTGACAAAATGCTGTGACCTCTTTCCTGCAGTTTTTACTTCCTCTTCTGCCTTTCTTCCTGCAACTTTCTCTTCCTTCTTTTCCACCTCTTGCTCCTCTGCTTACCCCAGAGACGCCAATCTGTCCTGCTCCAATTTCCTTTCCTTCCCCTTACTCTTCCCCCCTCTTATTTCCCACTGCTTCTCCAAGTATAAGCATGTTTTAGCCTCTTCTGCTTTAGAGACACGTTGTCTCCATCAGCTCCACTGCTCCTTCTTTGCTCTTACAGATTTGTGACTTTGCCACTTCCAGCTATTGCCTAAAAAGTCATTCTTAACTTCTTTAACCTTCTTTCAGCTCCTCATAACAAAACTCCTTCTGGTCAGGTCTTCTCGACAATGCCCTAGTTTGTCACCTTGCTGATGGGTGTCCCTTTTCCAGCCTTCAGAGGGCTCACAGTGACCTGTCCCCAGTATTCCTCTTCCCATATGCTTCACCACTGGCATCTCACTCATGGCTTCTTTCCCAAACCCAAGATCATTTACTGCATTCGTACGTAAGATTCATTCAACTGCACCCTATTTTTCAGTCTTCCCCCAGCAAACTAAAAATTCATGTAAGGAATATTTCATTGACATTTTTCTGAAAAAAAAAAATCTCTATTTCTTCCTTTTAAGAAGAAATGAATGCAGGGATGCAGCTCCAGACCTGAAACTGTGGACTTGATCTTTGAACACTACAGCTTGATCTTTGTCCAAAAAAGTCAGCTGAAGACAGAGCTGTGCTGATTTACCCTGTGTTCTACTGTAGGCTGTGTACTCTGTGGTGTTTATAAAATGCCTCAGCTTCCCATTAAGATGTTTGAACAACATGGTGTAATATTGTTTGCAATGCGACTTTTAAAATCAAAACTGACACTAACAAATTTCACCTGTTGATCTCATACAGTGCCCCCCCCCCCTTTTTTTTTTTTTTTTAAAAAAACTATCCACAAAAGAAGTGTTTTGGTTAGTGGTTGAAGTCACCACAAGCATGAAAGAATCAGGACAAATATCCAGCAAATAGTCAGGGTTTCGTGACATGCAAAATGAAAAATATTTGCTGAAACTAAACATAGCCACAGGTCTAATGAATGTGACATATGACTTCTGGTGCCTAAAAGAACAACAATTTAGAAGGCTCTGTGGGAAGGTTAATCTGCATATAGAAATGTACATATTCATACAGACCTAAGCTTTCAGCACTCTATTAACAGGCCTTTTTTGATACTCTGAGAGACATTTTTGTTGAGATAGGCTTCACAGGGCTTTCACTTCAGCACATCTTCTGGTTTGGCTTAGACATCTCTCATTTTCTGATGCTCATATTTAGTGACAGTTATTTCCTCCCTGGGAAAAATCAAGAACATCTGACAACCATTCGCTTGGCCCCTCGTTTAACCTTGCTGTTTCATGTGGCTCCCGAGGCTGGCTGAAGCTGCCTCACGCTGCCAAAAGCGACCATGTCACCAGTCAACACCAAGCACTGCCCTATATCCCCTGCAAACGGGCAGGGGGGAGGAGCTGGGAGACGGTCCCGGTGGAAGCTGTTTTGTTATGGCAGAGATTAGCCATATTCCAAACCTCTAAATAAACCCCCCTTAGACATCAAGAGGAAATTATTTTTAATTTCCAGATGCTTTGGGGTGGCCCTGAGCAATCCCGCAGGCTGCTCTGCTCCTGTGTGCCAAATGGCAATGTGCAGATGGCAGCTCGGTGGCTGCCCCAGCATCACAGCCCTCTTGATTCCCTCCTGTTTCTGAGGCTGGAACCAATTAGACAAAACACTCAAATTACAGAGGCTAGTGAGATCAGAGCAAGTGAAGGGGATCAGTGTCATCCTGCTCCCTTCCTTGGATTGCCACCTACACCTCAGACTAAACCATGGCAGATTAAGATCTGGTGCCAGCATTATCCTCTTTGAAAACACATTCCTAACAGTTCTCAGGAGTCAAATCTTGATCCCTGTGGAACTGGGGAGCCATGACCATTTAACTGGAGTGGGAAACCTCCTGCTCCAGGAGGCCTGTGATCGTGTGTCACATCTGCCCATCCAGTGCAGGAAGCTGAACTGAGACAGGTACCTAGCCCAGGCACACTATCCACATACCAAAGAAAACATAAGCAGCATCAGCCATTTGCCCAAAAAATACCCACCACTCATTTAGAAAGCAGGTGTCACTACCTCTGTTGAGTTAATGATCAAATTACCTCTGTTAGTGAGCTCCTTGCAGGAGGGTTATCTACACTTAACCCTGAAGAAAGCACAGCATATAACCACCTCTCCTGGGATAAGGGACAAGGGATTTCTTTGACATACAGTTTCCATGCGAGTCGCACATAACAGACCTGATGCGTGGGGCAGACTGGCTGCTGGGAGGGATGCTGCAGGCAGCAGAGCGCTTCCAGCACTGGGCTGTGGAGAAGCAGCGATGGCGAGGCCAGGAGAGAAATGGAGACAGGAAGAAGTCTGCAGGACAGTGACAGCAGGAAAGCCAGGAATAAATGCAGAAGGTGACAAGCAGCAACGTAAGAGCACGGTGGGGAGGCAGAAAAACAACACCAAAAAAAGGCCAGATGTGATGCTTGGATGGCATCAGGTTGAGAAGCACAGAGCTTTCTAGACCTCTCTGATGAGTGTGTGCTGACCACAAACAGGATCCTCCTTCACAGGAAAGTCAAGCCCACCGTGAGGGACCTGCTTCCACCCCCCACTGCTGGGACCCATGTTGCTCACCCAGCTGGGCCCATGCTGAGCATGGTTAGAGGCACACACACCAAACCCCTTCTACAGCACCAGCTAAAGATGCTGTAGCAGCCTTTGCACCTGAGAGCCCAAGGTCAACCACCAGCGAATTCTGATACACTGGGAGCTCTGGCTTTTCTGTGGGAAAAAAGCAGGGTACAAGACTACCGTGGCACAGCTCCAGAAATTGATTTTACTGACCAATCCAATAAAGTCGGCTAAAATTGCCACCTCCCTTGTTGACACTACGCATTGTGTTAGACCTGCCATAGCGAGGTAAAGATTCAGCTCCTGTTTGTTTCACCTTCCAAACTAATTTTATATGCTTGAGTGCTTAGAGAATAGAATATGTTTTTAAACCCAAGAACTTAGTTATCTTAAAACAAGCAGACTCCTGTGCTTGCACTCACGTGCACCTTCTTGCACATAGCAAGAGATGGGGGCTTGGGCTCTCAGCAAGTCTCAGCTGGCTCCACTGACCTCAGTGGATCGGTGCCAATTTGTGCCAGATGTCAACAGGGCTCCCTGTTTTGCAGGCAAGATAGGCTCAAACCCAGTAGAGCTACTCTATCATGAGAACTTATCTGAAAAGAGGGTACTTCTCTTTAGGTTATGGCAGACTAGACAGCAACCAAGACAGGTCCTTCCTAGTAGGAAAGGGCAGTGATCTCCCCAGGAGAGGCTGAATTGCAGAACCTGCTGTCTCCCGGGGATGCACCCACCAACAGACCCCCTGCATCAGGCAGACTCAGTGCTGGAAGTGACTCCAGCCACTCATTTTTATGTATCAATATCCATTTGAATGACGAAAGTTTAACTTCCCTGTTGTTTTTTTGTTTGTTTGTTTAAAAAACAAACAAATTTTTATGTATCAATATCCATTTGAATGAGGAAAGTTTAACTTCCCTGTTGTTTTTTGTTTGTTTGTTTAAAAAATAAAAAAAACCCTCACACACAGAGAACAGATTACATCATTATTTCTGAGTTGCCATCTAATAACTCTATGAGTTAAATAAATGACTGAGTGGTTGCAAGATTTCTGAACTTTTTTTTTGGTCAATACCTCAGAAATTGACCATAACCTGTTTACTCAGATTCTCAAACAACGACAAGAAAGTCTGGAATAAGTAGTGGCCCAGGGAAAGAATAGGAAACCATCGCAAGAAGGGATCACAGGTGAGAAAGACATAAATTACTGAGCCTCAGGAAAAGATATTGTTATTATACTGTATTAAGTGTTTAAGAAAGGCATTTGTATTCCTTTTCTGGGCTACTGGATTGATCTGTTTCCCTTGGATTGATCTGTTTCATGCAGAGTCACTTTCAGCAGAGCTGTTTTTAGTGCATTTCTATACTAGGGCAGCACAATTTTGAGGGTAGTACTGAAAGGAGAACGTTGCTAGTAAAGGAAGGCACCAAGAGGGGAGTTCCCTCCTACAAAATCACCCACATGTGACAGCCTCCCTGGGGGATATACAGAAACCCAGACTTACCGTATCGCCTATTTTGAGATCCCCACACTTCCTGAGACCAGGATATGACAAACCATCTTGACACGTGGCAGTGAAGGTCAGGCCAACATCCTCAGGACTGTCCCAAACAGTAAGTTCTACTTTAGACCGAATACTCTAGAAACAAAATAAAGACGACAGACATCAGGTTACTAAAGGCAGACAGATTTCTCCTGCACATTTTTCTGTTTCAAGTCTTTTCTCTAATGTCTTCATTTGGTTATTATGTCTTTGCCTCTATAGGGAGGGAGATACCTGTGCTGACAAACGGGCATTTGTTTTTGATTCTATCAGGATGTTTTTGATCAGCGTAATTAGAATTATGGACAGTCACCTATTCAAGCATCAGTACCCACATGTTCATCTCAGAACAGTCTCCTCCTTGTGAACACTTGAGTAACAGGGTCTGTGGCAGAGAAAGGGTTATGACAGACCAAGAGTAGTATCATGTCCATACACAGTACATCACAGAAGTGGACTGACAAATGTGTGGACAGTTCATGGACTCCATGACAGTCATGGTGACCCATACAGCCAGATCTGAAGAGATATGTGCAAAGAGAAAAAAAAACATTACTGGCTACAAATGGAGCCCTTGCTTTATCTCTGAATTGAAGGAGAACACCTGGTGTTAACATCCGCACCCCTTTCATGTAAAAAGGCCTGTTACAGAAATGCAAAGACTGATTCTCTACTGGCCTCTAGCCTATGATGCCTTTTATACTGCATAAAGAAGGTGTAAAACTTCAATAAGGCTGAATGACTGGATCAACCACTCTATTCCAGCTTCTTGCCATGACAGAACTAGTTAAGAGAAATATTTTCTCCTCTCAAAGAGGGCCAGACAAAATACATCTTTTCAGATGTCTCAAAGTCATTAGATTTCCCATGGAAATTTTTATAGAGAGAGGGTAGAAGAGAAAAAGTCCCTGTGTTTATGAAACAAGATGAAAAACAGCTTTCCCCCCTTTTTCCCCCTCATTTTCTTCAGTAAGGTTTGGGGAGTCTCTGCACTTCTGCTTCTCATCGCTCCATTCTACTGCAAAACCTAGGCTTGAGTCAAAACAAAACAAAGTGGAACTTTGTTTATAGACGTTAATTCAGAATAAAGTTGTTTTGCTCAATTCTCTCAATGGCTGGAATTGATATTTTGGGAGTGGTGTCCAAAGACAACTAAAGTTTCCAGAAGGGAGGGTTTCTTTTTGCATAAACACATTTCTTTTCCAACCTAACTTGCTGCTCCATCCCTTTCCTGCTTCTCTCTCCTCTCACTGAAGTGTCCAGAGTGAGGAAAAATGCTAATTCAGACCTCTTGCTAGCCAGTACAGTGAGAAAGCCAGTGTTCATAATGAGGAATGATACTAGCAAAGAGCCAAAGCTTTTGGAAATGAACAGGAAATAAATGGATTTCGACAAGGCAAATCTACACAACCCTTGAGGAAAAGTAGTAATTTCCCATATTTATGCTGCACTTCAGGAAACCATTTCCTGTCTGGGGCCTGGGCTGCAGGTTCATAGGTTCACATTTTAGACTATATATCTGGCATCTCTACTGCTTGTAGGCTGAACGCACTATATCCCAGTAAAGCTGAACACAACACATGCATCCACTGCTCTTCCCAGTATTTATCACACTGGAATTATAATGGAGATGTCACACAGAAACACTATCTCTTCTTTTTAATCTGGACAAACTTCAGACAACTTTAACCTAAAAGGAAGGTTAATTACCTGCAATGGAAATACACTGGCTTATCAGTTCATCAAGTCCCCAAGTCTATTAAACAGACTGGAGAAGTGTCTCAATATTTATCTATCAGCATTATAAGCAGTCACTTGAAGCTGCAGAGGCATGGTAGGAAAGGAAACACTTTTTCCAGCCACATTTCTTATATTGTTCTCCAGAGTGTGTGTTTTGGGGCACTATTGAAGACAATACACTAGGTGTGCTCAGCTTCAATATGACTTTGCATGGGTCATTCTTATATGGATACCAGGATTCCTTATTAACCTATTAAAACTATTATTAGTCACTTGGTAGTATTATGCAGAAATATCTTCTACAGTACCCAGCCACCACTACAGGGTAAGGAAGTGTCTGCTGCTATGTTGTGTAAAATCAGAGTCAATCAAGCACTAAATATGCAATTGCAGAGACATATCCTGCACTTTCTTCAAAATACAGAAAACCGCTCAGTCTATTCCGTGCGCTAGCGCATCTAATAGATTAAAGCATGTCCCATATCTGTCTTCCTGCACATGTAAACATCAGCCAAACCCTTGAGAACAGCACTGGGAACCTCATCTGGTAGGAGTACAAAACATAACTAGGTTGACACTAGGCTGAGGCTGTGGGTCCTGGTCTTATCCTGGTTTCATTGTCAGCTCTGATTTCAAATATCACTGAGTAATCACTGCAATGAGGACTCCCTGCCTCTGTTTCCCCAGATATCTACCAGCATTTCTGAAAAACATTTACCTACCTGTAATCTAAAAATTTTAGGAGTTACTAGTTTCTGTAGAAGAAACTCTCATATGGTTTCTGGAACCAGGGAAGAACCATGGGCAAAACCTAGACCCTTTAGTTTTATAGTACTGGTTTTCATAGTATTTAAAACTTTCAACTAAGCCTGTCAACTCTGTGGGGAAATGGGGAACAACTCCTTTCTCTATGCCACCTTCAACCACAACTGTTCCTTTTTGCCCCAAGGAAACCCTAAGCCAACAGTGGCTGCAGGGACACCTGACACAAAGGCCAACAGCCATCTGCCAAGCAGAACTCACTTGTGTTATAACAGAAGAAACATGTTTGAGATCCTTCTGGAGCAGGTTTAGGAAAATGAGTTTACAAACAGCATTCAGTTAGCTCCCTTCCATCCAAATCCACCCTGCCTATTTGGGCAGAAAACCTGCTGCAGATTGTGCCAGCCTAGAACTAGCCCTGCAGACCTTTCCAGAACCTGTCCATTGTACAGATACATCAAGACTTGGAGAAGGCAGAAGGGTTTTATTGTAGTCAGGACAGAGTTGCTATAGAAGATATACATATATTTGTTTTTCTTCAGGCCCCTCATAAAAAACATAGGTGATAATACATCAAGCATGTGACATGCAGCTGGACAGGGAGGAGAAAGTGAGATGAAAGATAAAGATAAGGAAAAGTGATATTGGAATTCATGTGCCCTGAGCAAATCTGATTTAGACATCAGTGTAAATCCATGGATTTAGAGCCTCAGTGGAGAAAAGTAGGCAAGAGGATCAGAAAGATGGCTAGAGCACTGGAGAGGCAGAATCTGGGCCACCCAGCATGAGTCACTGTCACCCCAAGCTCAGATTTTCCAATGTGTGAGAAAAACTTTTCCTTCTAATTTGGGAAATTAAAATTTCAGACTTCTTTCTCAGAGAGAATTTTCTATATTTCAGGGGTGAGGGATGGTAGGGGGTGGTGGAAGAGCTACCCAGAGCAATTGAACAAGCATATGCCAGGTTTCCAAGATGCCTGTTGCAGAGTCCAGGGCTGCCAGGCTCCAGTAGATGTTGGGGTGGCAACCAGGACACACTGTCCCTAGGTTCCACTTGCCCCCTGTCTGAACAGACAGAAAACCAACTCCAATTTTAGCAGAAGTTCATCCCACAACTCCTTCAGTTGAACGTCTTGGTCTCAGCATCCTGGTGACTTTTCCCTCAGTGAGCAGGCCATCAGATCTCAAAGAGATTTTGTCAGGTCAAACTTATTTGAGAAAGTTTGGAAGGTAATAAATGAAGGCACGACAGTATGTTATGGACAGGACACTGAAGTAAAAAGAGCTTTTTAAGTGATGTCTCTATGACCATGTGCAAAATGTAGCTAAAAGATTTGACCAAGGATAGAAATGGATGTTCGCTACAAGACCATCCTTCCTCAGGGGGACAAGCTGAGAGAACAGGGCCCTCATGGCATCTTCAGCACCTCATTATCTGGCTAACCTCAGAACAGAGATTTTGGAAGAGGTCTTCTCAAATGCTGCGCTAAATATGGGGAACTGCAGGGAGAGGAACGATGAACATTACACGTCATGTAAAGCACAGCATAATCCTAGCTGGACTTTGAGTTTATAAACTCTGCCAAAGAAGCCCTTCCTCACTCCCTTGCATTAATCATCATCACTATACCAAGAAGCAGCCCTTGCAGCCACTAAAAGTATAAGCAGAACTATTAGGGCCATAAGTTGCATGTATGTAGAGCGTATCTGTTGACCAATTCATTAAAGTGCAGCACTTCAATTTAGCTACAAAGAATCACACATAGAACAAAGTACTTTCAAGATAAATTTCCATGCATGCTTAAGCCTCACATGCCAACAAACACACACCAACATCCTTCCAGGGGCATGAGGAACTGAACCATAAAAATTCAGTGAAAGGACTATAGAAGTGTTGGTAACTAGCCAACTAATATTCTGTTTAGCTGCTTTTAGCCAATCTGCTTTCCTGGTCTTCACAGAGAGGGAAAGGCAATAATATCAGGTTAGCAGTACAACTGCAGATGCTTTTGCTTTCTGCCATGCTCCTCTGGGAGTCCCAGCAACCAGGAGAGGTTACACTGGTAGCTCTGTAGTCAGTGACCTTTTGGGATGCCAAAACACATGCTAATATCAACTGTCAGAGGGCTACAAATTGATTCATGCTGCACAGACCATCGCAGGGAAGCTACCTTAGCTGGAGCCAAGTCAGGCCTTGAGAGGACTCTGGATTTTAAATAGAAAAGACAACATTAGCCCGCTCTGTGGAGGTGTGTTTTACATCAGGATTGTATTTAGAGGGCAATTCTGCATGAGACACATGGGGCAAATCTGTGCTTTGCTGCAGACGTCCTTGGGCATCTCGGTTCCCCTTTTCCACTTCACCCAGCTACTGAAGTGGTTGACGCAGAAAGGACCTGTGAAACACTCCACTCCCGCACCAGCAAGGGCCCAAGGAAGCTCTTGAGGCAGACAGAGCACAAAATCAGCCCAAACACCAGCGTCATCCTAGATATGACGAGCAACCTCCTTTCCCTCCCCAGGGGTGGATGCACCAAGCCTGTTGGTGACCCACAGTATGAAGGACCAGAGGAGAGGCAGCCAACTCTGGGTGGAGCACACAAGGGAGAGCAGAGCTAGCCAAGGTCTTGGCCTTTTACAACACAGCTGCTGTAATATTAGAGCACAACTTACATTGTAGGCCTTGACTATCAGCTCGATGATGTTCTTGGAGTCTTTGTGTAAAATCTCTACCGTTGTTCCAGGAATTAATGCTGTAAAATTCTTAAAAAGAAAAACAGAAAACACTGAGATTCACACAGAGAATGTAAGGATGAAGTGTGTTCTGAGATCCACTCTTGCAGCACTGACCCACTGCCTGCCCAGGACACAAGGCACATTGTGCCTCACTACCTGTCAACGTACGTGATACAACTTTGTTCATTTTGAAGTGGAGCTTTTGAAAGGAAAGTGTTTCTAAACATTAAATAACATCTAATGCTCAACAGAACTCATAGCCAAGGGAGCTGGACTAATGTGGCTCCCATTAGCCCAGTTCCTCTGCCAGATGGGCCACATGTCACTAAGCACAGGTTTAATCTGCATTCAAGGCAGCTGGCAACCCAGGAAGCAAGGCTGGGCTTGCATCAGTCTCACTCTCACTGATATATTAACTTCCACAGAAGAGGGTGTGGAGAATGAGCTAAACTTTTCAGCTCTCCATGGGTTAGCATTAGGATTTTGACCTTAGCAACGTTTCTGCTTGTTTTGGTCAAGTTTTGCAGTATAGAGATTTGAAAGCTGGAAGGGAACGCTTCTGAGAGTTTTCTGGTTCAAAAATTCCCTCTTATCTATTTTCTTTTAACAAAATCCTCTTCTGCAGAGGTATCAGATTCAGAGAAGCAAACCCTGCTAGTGCAGTTGACTGTTTGTGGTTCAGGTAATCTTTTCCTTTTGGAGAGAAGGAGGAGGATGGCGAGGGAGCTCAAGCTGTATTTGGCGCGTTCGGGCTCTGGACTCAATGATGGAAAAACACAGCTGGGCAGAAACACTGTGCACACTTAGGTAATGGGATTAAGTCACTGCAGAATGGGCTGAACAGGTTTCTGCTCTCTCATATGCTGCACGGCTGGCAGCACTCCTAAAATCAAGATTAAACTAGAGTCTATTTTAGGTATTCACATGCTCGCTAACATGTATCTATTTACTTTAAGAGGCTTTAGTGCTTTTCACTGAAATAACAACACCCTACTAGTTAGCAGGGAGAGAAAACTGGTGAGTTTATCTTGGGAAAAAACTTCTCTTTGAGAGCCCTTCCTGCAATGTGTGGCCTTGCTCACATGCACGGAAGACTGTTTCCAACCCACTAGCGCTAGCAGAAAGATGCTTTCAAGAAGCATTTAAGTCTTTCCAGCCTGAGTGGCTCAGCAGCACTTACCTTGTACAGGACATAATGACTTTTTGTAACAGCAAAAATAAGGTGGATGTTGTTTTCCGCTAGTTTCTCCCCAAGAAGCGCGAGGGAAGGATAATCCTAGAGGCAAAAATAGAGCAGAAGACTGATGGGTAACACAAGCAAAGATCAATGTAATTGCTCTTCTACAAAAAAGCTCATTCTAGAGATCATGTTTCACTGCAATCCAAAGTCCCTAGTGAATCAGCACAATCAGAACTGAAATTCTAGAAACATTTCTGTACGTCTGTCTTCCTTTAACACCTCTGCTGCACCTATCACCAGAACATGGGAGAGACACCACACTCAGAGCAACACTTAAAACTGATTTTTTTCTGCTCTTCTACAAAAAAGCTCATTCTAGAGATCATGTTTCGCTGCAATATAAAGTCCCTAGTGTACCAGCACAATCAGAACTGAAATTGTAGAAACATTTCTGTATATCTGTCTTCCTTTAATACCTCTGCTGCACCTATCACCAGAACATGAGAGTGATACCACACTCAGAGCTTAAAACTGATTTTTTTTTCTCTTTTCTTTCTACTTTGCCCTCAGCAAGTTCACATGTAATACACTAGCTGCTATCTTTAGGGATGCTAGATAAGGCCGCTAACTAAAACTATAGTAGAAAAATACTGCTTTTTGCAGGAGTGGAAAGATGCATTGTCTTCTCTTTCTTTATACTAGAGCCAGAAAGAGATAAGCTCTTTAATTTTGTAGAATTCATAGAGAGGGGATGTGGGAAATATGTTGTTCTAGCAAACCACAAGCAACAAATGAACCAGAGACCAGCCTGAGGCTTTAAACCCCCAGGCTGTTTCTGAAATGTCGCCCTCAGGGGAAGGAAGAAAAAAAAAATTAAAAAAAATAAAAAGCTTACTTTACTTGCAGATTTTAAGCCTCCAAGAAGCAAACATGGAAATGTCAAAGCAATATCCCCCATACCAGTTTCACAGCATAACATCAAGTCAGAACATGGGCTGTGAATAGGTTTGTTGCAATTGAGCAGTCCCATAGAAAAGAGGTTTCTCCAACTAATCTAACCTGCTGTCATAAGGCAATCCAGGAACACCTCCCATTATGGGGTGATGTACATTCAGAAACAAAGAAAAACCATTATCAGTCCTTGAAATCTACTTAATAAAGCACCATTCTGTAGAATAATTTGATAATTAAGCAGCAGACAAATGCTCATTCATTTAAACAAAAAAGGAGCTAGTTTACTAAAATAGGAAAACCATTCCATTTTGGAAGCTGAAATTTAGGAAAAAAAAAAAAAAAAAAAAAACCATTATCAGTCCTTGCAATCTACTTAATAAAGCACCATTCTGCAGAATAATTTGATAAGTAAGCAGCAGACAAATGCTCATTCATTGAAATAAAAAAGGAGCTAGTTTGTTTATTATTAAGATCTATGTAATTGTTGTGCTCACAGGCTGTGAATAAGATCAGCATCATATTGTGGTTGTTGCTGTCACCACATCAGTAGGTAGACTCAGCCCTCCCACCGAAAAGCTGATCATCTATTGGGCATTTAAAAAAAAGTGACACATTTTGTTTTCTCAGCTCTTGCATGCGAATCTGATGCACTGCAGAATTAAGAGCTGTTTTCCCCCCTCACTTGCAATGAATCCTGAAGAAACTTGCAAGCCTCTGACCTCATTTTTGAGCATCACAAGAACATTCACTGAAGGTGGAATGGCCAAAGGGATTGGTGAGTTTTATCTCCAAACTGATGGACCAGGTGGAAAGTCCTGCTTGAGGGAGTGGTTGTCAAAAGCTGCTGAAATCTGGTGCTGTGGTCTCCAGAGAAGCCAGGGGATCAATTCTTTTGACAACCAGATGTCTCCGAGTACCCTGCCCAGTGTCCCCCAGGAAACGCGGGGCTGTCCTCACCAGCTGGCTGGACGCGCTGTACTCGTTTGCTTCGTTCAAGTGGCACTGGCCGTCATGGGGCTGGACCAGCCCACCCAGCTTCCCGTCCAGGGCTATGTGGGGCACATCATCTGTCGTGAAGACCAGCAAGTGAGATGCCTCTTTACGCCAGCCAATCTTCTCCTGGGTGAAAACAAAACCATGAGACAGTCCATCTCCTTCTCCCATCACCCTGTCCATGCTCCCAGCCACACATCCTTCTAGCAGGAGGGTCCCTGCCATCCTTAATTAAGAGGATAGCATATACATGTCCACCCATGCCTGGCAAGAAACCAAAATGTCATGGGCCCATCTGGTACTTACCAGCATTCTTTCCTGTGCAGTTATTTAAACAGGCCTGACGTGTTGTGTGGACTGTCCATCAGACCTTCGCTACCCAGATCCAAGAATAAGAATTTCAACTGCTTTTATAGTCAAAGGAGACCTGCCAAATTCTTCCACACACATTTAATCTGACCTTGTTTCCTCAGCTCCATGGAATTGCAGAGCTGCTGCACGCAGCGCAAAGCAACAGCAAGAGCTGTAATATCCCCAGTCAGCATTTTTCATTATAGCTCAGTCATAAAAACTGCTTGAGCTGTAACACATGAAGTGAGTTCTCTGGGTTTGGGTAAGCCATACGCATGCACAAGGCACCCACCTATGCGCTCTAAGGATTTTATCTAGCAGCTGCTTTGTCTTTCCCTTCCCAACAGATAAACTCCTCTTGTCTGGAAGGGATGGCCCTTCCAAGTTAGGCTGGCTGCCATTTCTTGGCAACCACAACAAACGCCCAGACAGCCCTCTCTTCCCTCATCTCATACAGATGCTTAGGCCACTCTGCACAAGCCCCAGGGACATCGGGGTGCACACAGTTGGCACTGGGTAGGACAGGTGGAGCTTTCACACAGGTTGCTTGCACTGGTCCATGCACAACTGGCCAACCCAGTTCTGAAGGGAGAAATATGAGTGTATTTGGAAAGAAAAATATGCCTTTCTGAGCCTTATTTGACTGGTCACTGTGAAAGCAATGTGATGTCAGGAACAGTACAAGAAGTACTGCCCCTGGAAGGAACAGACATTACGATCATTTCTGCATGGACAGCATGTAGAGGGATGGATTTTTTTTTTCCTTTAAATAAAGGGGTAAGATTTATATGAGAAATGTTTCCCTCCCATGGAGCTTCCCTACATTTCCAGCTTTGCATCAACCCTAAAAGCAGATCTGTGCCTAAGAAAGCACATTCAAGCTGTTCGCTGCAATGGGAGCGGGTGGAACACATAGAAGCCAAAAGGAAATGTTTTGAAACCATAACGCTGCAACACATTCCTCCTACATGAGCTGACTGCTCTGACCACCAGCTCATGCCAAGCTGGGCTGGCTGAGGCCCTGCGTGTCAAACACCATAGAAGGATCCTGCCGCAGCGCGCACGGCGAGGAACAGAGCTGTTTGCCTCAACAACACGGCAGCACAGCCAGGTTCCACAGCGAGCCAGGGCCTTCCCTTGGCCACCGTGCAGCAGAGATGCAGCCCAGCTCTTTCCATCCCTGCATGCACCCGGTGTGTGATGGGGACTGGCACTGCGCTATTTGCCTGCAAATAGGAGTCACAGACCAAAGCCTTCTGATCTTTCAACAAATCTAACCCTTACTTCAGTTTAATAACAACAACTTCTCTAGTTTGCATTTCTTTCCCTTCCCCTAAAGGGAAAGATTTTTTTCTGAATGATTCGTGCAATGCAAGTAAGTCTGTAGGAATAAACCTTTGGCTGCACGTATCCTCTGTCAATTACCAGCACGGTACATTCCGGCTCATTTTGCAAACTGGACTTTTTTGGTCTGGGAAGCAGGAGACCATTCAGCTGAAGTGATCTCACTGAAAGAAAGGTGAAAGTCTTCAAGACAAAATGGAACTTCTTACACACTGGACCCAAAAGTCACAGTGGCTTTAATAATGCGAGAAGCTGTCCACCACACAGGAGCCCATACAGCTGTTTTCTTTGGGTATCCAAAGCCACCAGCTATGGTTGCCTCTTCCACCCTGAAGATCACTTTTTCCTTCCTTGTAGCCAACAGCAAAGGTCAAAACAGCAACAACTGCCTCAACAAATCCCAAATCTCCAAATCCTATTAGAATAGCTGCAAACGACTGCATCAATATTTCCAAGCTTGAAAAATAAATTTTTGAATTCATACTTGGGCCTATAAAAAAGTACAATATCCAAAGACATCAACTGCTAGGAGAGCCCATTGGACTCATCAATACATTAAACACAGCTAGTTTCTCAGATGACATTAAAACACCCGTTCTCCAAAATCTCCGTAGTCTTGCACTGCTCCGAAAGGCACCTAAGAGTCTCCCAGATGCCTTGGTCATGCCTGTGTGCTAATGTTTTGCAGGCACTATTCAAACCCACTTCAAAAGATACTTTATTTTATAATCAATCATCATCTTGTTGCAGCTTAGTATGTAAGCTCTCAATCTTACATACACACTGCAAACCTGTGCAAGCTATGAAGCCTGCACTTAAAGAAGGGCAGAAAACCAAAATATTGCAAATGGAAAAAGTAATTACAGAAGGTTGGTTAATATTCCTGGCTAACAATTTTAGCATCAGTACAAAGGTTTGCTGTCTCTGATTCTTTCTTTGCCAGCAGAAAAACATTTACCTTTCCCTCGTCTTTCAAAAAGGAGCCAAACATGGGCCTGAGGATTAGCCTGTATTAGCACTACAGGCTTTTCCCACTCCTGGATTTAAAATCAGGCCAAAAAATGACTTCAGCATTACACTGCTCCTAGATGGCTCATGCACAAGAAATGCCCGATATGAAACACAGCAGAAAAATACCTGGGCAACAGATAGACAAGGATATTCCACGTGGCCAGCGCAGGACACCTCAGAAACAGGTTCTGATTTTCAGGAATTCCACAGCAATAGTTACAGCTCTGAAAAATGCCTTCATTTGAATGTCTAAAAGGGGAAGTATGTTTTCATCCAGACCTATTACAGCTTTTTGGAGATTTCAGACAAACGTGTGAGCTTGATCACAGCCCCATTGCTTTGAGGCCAAAGGATGAGACGTTCTCTCTCTTCACCCCAGGTACCAAAGTCATAATCCCCATGTCTAAAATGCTAGCCAGACCAGGAAAGGTTAGACCAAGTGACACATTGCCTTCTGCAGTAGAGGACATTGGATTTGTTTCCCTGATTTCAGAAGATCTACAGGAGATAAACAAAAAGCCTTCCCATCCTGGAGACACTCCTGTATCAGTTTCTTGATCAGAGAAAACAGAAGCCTTTTTTTGTGCTAAAAAGAGGAATTCCTCGTTTTGCAGCTAGCTAGAAGGAGCATACTTCTTTCACCTTGGCTCTCATCCTGGAGAGCCAAGAATGAGAGACTAGACTAGAGAGATCCAGACTCCAGACTAAACTCAGATTTGAGCCTGAGTTGTTACGTGACACTGAGGAAAAGGGGATTACAACTGAAGAAGTATTAAAGAAACTAGACTCGGGGGCACTTCCAAGTCTTGCTTCTCCTGTCTTCCTGCTCAAAGAGAAGGAAAATACCAAACTCAGACGTTGTCACACAGATGTTCCCCCTCTGTCACAAATTCTGCAGTTTTGCACAAAACATTCATGACCAACATGATGCATCGTCACAAAGACAGGGGATTTTTCACGCTTGTAACTGCCTAAGTCTTGGGTTTCAAATACAATATTTGGCAGAAACTGGAAAGAAATACAGCAAACTAGAGAGATGCACCAGGGTACAACAGTGACACTGTAATGAGAGACTCACCCTAAAAATCAGAGTATTTGCATACTTCTCTTGTTGTCCTGTGGAAAGCCAGCTCCTAAATTACAGAAACTACTGTCTGTGCAGGGTTTAGTCCCACTGATGCTTCATTATTGTCACTGCTAGATGCAGAGCATCATTTACTGCAGATAAAAGAATCACTTTCTAGCGAAGTCGTAAGGAAGACATATTTCATTGTTGCCCTAGATGTCCATTAGCTTCCACTTGCCCTGACCGCATTGTGTGCGGCTCCAACCATTAATGGACATGGGCCAGCACTCTGCTGCTGCAAGGAAATTAATCACTAAGCTCCTGTTTTGGCTACAAGGCTTCAGAGGTCAACCAGCTGGCCTGAAGCTTGGAGACTTCTAAGTCTACATACAGAGAGACTTTACTGCCCGTGACTGTCTGTAATCAATATGCAGCTACTCCACCCTCAGCTAACACGCTGTCAAGCAGGCACACGTGGTCATGCAGCCAGTGCTTCCTCCTCACACATCATTTCTTTAACTTTGCTGCCTTCCAAGCTCCAGCTTCATCATCATGACTGCAGAAATTCTTCACTTATGATTTCCACATCATGCCAAGAGTTGTAATGGCACAAATCATCTTTTTTCTCACCACTGCTGACTGTTTATACCTAGTCCTGATTTTAGGCCTCACCTATGAGGGAATCAAAAGCCATCTGCGCACTGAAGAGTTGTGTAGAGACTTTGTTCCCTTTGAACAATTTAAGACTGGCGCAAGTGTCCAGGTGTCTAGAATTATCCTGAAGGCTTCCTGACTTCAAGAACAGCCTTCATGACACAAACTGCAATATGTCTGTACAATAAGGAAGTACCCCCTTCCCGCCCCCCTCCCTTTTTTTTTTTTTTTTCCAGAAATGAAGTCAAAGAAACAGCAAAAACAAAAAACATAAATGATGGGCAGCATAACTGAATCATTGTTCTGAGATTACTTTGCTCTAACCACTGATGCTACCTTTCAAGTTTAGACCTAGGCTAATGGTAAAGAGCAGCACTGTAGCTGTGCCAATAACAATATTTATGCCTGGGAGAGAAAAGATGACTGTTCAGAGGCACTGGACCCAACGATGCAGGTTTAGTCTTGTCAAGAGCATGAAGTATAAAATAAAACCAACCCAGGCTAGGAAAAATCTGTTTTCCCACTCAGAGATGGGACACAACAGAGTTGCACAAGCCAGCATGAAACAGCTTCTGCAGAGGCGGCCTACCTCCCAGCCAGAAGAAAATGTGCTTTATCAAGAGAGCCACACAAAAACTGGACAGAAGAGCCAAAAAACTAAGTCAGAGGGGAAAAAAACAACCACAGCCATTACTGGATAGCAGAGACAGTTGCGCAAATTGCAGGAGAAAAGCAGATAGTTGAGAGGAGCATTAATTCTTTTCTTTAACTAAAAGAAATGCAGAGCAACCTACCTACTTGTTTGTCGGAGAAGAGATATTCCCCCTTGCTGAGCCCAGAACACGATTGAGCAGAGCTCTATGCCTCCTTGAGCCACGGGCTGGACCGCAACTTATTTTCACAGCAAACAGACCACACTAGGACCCTTGGGAAAAGAGAGCATCCCAGGCCAAAGAGCGATTCCTAACACGTGCTGCTTCATTTAGGATGCACCTGGGCCATGTCACTTAGGTGGACAATGTGCTGGAAAGCCTCGAGGACACGGCTAACACAGCAGCAAAGCCAAGCTAACACCCTCCAGCTACAGATTGCTGTTGTTCTACCCATAAGGACACACATGCTAGTCCAGCACAAAACACATCAGTGATTCCCTTGTCAAGGGCATGTCACACAGTAGAAATTTCACATCTAGCGTCACACTCTTAATGAAGGAGGGCAGGTTATTTTACACAAGGAGGTGGAATAATCCTGCTCCACCAGCCAAACAGAGGAGGATCCTGCTTCAGGGTTGTACCACCAGTGCTGAAGCAGTAGCACCTGAGCACTGCTTCCAAAATCTGACATACCAAAGACTTATCCTAATCCAAAGATAATTCAGAAAACCGCCTACTTTTTTGCTTTGCTTTAAAATCCAGAATTGAGAGCAACTCACCTTGCACACAGCAGCCTGTAAAATGGCATCAAAACCACCTTCTGGAGCATCTCTGTTTCGGGAAACCTTCTGTTTCTGAACTTCTTCATTGAAACGGTCAACTTTATCCGTTAAAGACAAGAGATGGCGGAAGCCAAAGGATGGGACACAGTTTGGGAACAGCTTGTAACTGGAACAAGAACACAGGAAGAGTGGTTAACTGAAGAGAAACGCATTAAGAGTCGAGAGTGGCTGAAGTCCCCACCTCTAACAGGCTGGCATTTGTTCAGAGGGATGAAGTATTTCCACACAGCTTCGTGCTTTGGTTGCTTTGACTTTTGGCTATTCATCATCTGCAGTTAAACTTATCTTTTCTCCTGTCCCCATCAGGAGCTCTGACCAACTGAAGTTGCCAGAAATCTCCCCGGGACTGAGCTCTGCTCACTGCATAAAGTCAAGAGTGGAGACGCCAAATATCTGGCCACACTGGAAAACACGACTCTCGAGTTTCAGCACTCGAAGGAAAGCTAGTTTTGACACAGGAGTCTGCAGTGCAAAGCACAGTGATGCAATGTGCAAATGCCAGCAGCCCAGATCCACCCCTTCCTATAGTTCAGTAGCTCCTCCAGGATGGCACTGGGAGCTGCCCCAACCACTCTGCTCAATCGGCCAGGGGAACCAGGCACCACACACAGGTGCAATTGCTGCCAGCTACTTTCCCACTAGTTTGTGGTAAGGATTTTCTTCTCTGTCCTGATGTGCTCACAGTGCTTTCTGCTCCATGCCTAGCTCAGGTCACCAGGTATATTGCATTTATGCAGCAGGACATGTGTCCTCCAGCCCTTTCTGAGGGCCAGGCGAGCAAGTACCATGCCTGGTTTTCAGACTGCTGCAAAAGCAGAAAGGCAGAAGTAGCACCCAAAGTCACTACTTGGCAGGCTATAAAAACATTTTTCTTTAGGAGACTGTGGGCTGCTTTAGCACTCACAATGTGATTGAGAGCCCTCAGTAGAGGGATTCCTCCTGCATGGAAGTGGTGAATGTGTACAGGGGAGAGGGAAGGGAAGGGTTAAGAAGAACATGTGTTTTAAAAGGAGTTAGACTGGCTCTAATTAATTGTTTTCTGCACTTTATCTTTCAAGATAAGAAAGAGGCCTCTGCTGATATCTGACCCCCTATGGTAAAGCTCTAAGAGGCTTTTTACACAAAGGAATATTTAAGATTTACCACCACTGGAAACCAAATTCCTGACAAGCCGGAAGCTTCCTGCCACATACGCTCTGTGCGCTGCTCCTGGAGGCAGGGACACGCTGGTGGCCACCCACACACTCAGTTACGCTGCCGTGTGCAGATCTTGTCATACGTCAGGTGTGACTGCATTGCTCATGGCAGCAGGGCTTAGTCACTGCAGGTCAGTGCCAACAAATGGGGCTGCGGGCAGCAACCAGCCTGGCATCAGCCCAGGGTTCAGACTTGTGCTCAGCTCACTCCCAGGGCCCGGCTGAGGAGTTTGCAAGGTTTAAAAGCCCTCTAAGTCCTTGCATAAGGTCTCTACAAATTACCTTCAAATAGAGGAGTTTGCAAGGTTTAAAAGCCCTCTGTAAGTCCTTGCATAAGGTCTCTACAAACTTACCTTCAAATACATTTGTAGAATATGATACACCTGCCTGCTCCCTTTGCCAGAGTCCCAGTCCAAAGAGCAAACATTTAGGTAAGCTATATACTGAGGGGTCTCATCTCCTTGAGTCTTATGCTCTGCTCTCATCTCTCCAATATCCTGAAGGCTGATCATTTAATCCTGTTTCTGCACCTCAGAAGCTGGAAAGTTAGGTGCCAGAGCAGACTACAGCTACTTAGGTAACTAATTAGTGGCATACAGCAAGGCTGTAACCTCCGCAAGAAATATCACAGCTCTGTGTTTGGGTATTCAGCCAACCCCCTGCCTTCCTTAACCTTTGTTTTTCTGAGTTTTCTTCATCTTATCTTTCCTGGACTACTCCGAGTGCTCCTTGCAAGGACAGGGAGGGCCCAATCCCAGCTCCATAGATCTCTCCCCAAAGGAAGCACAAGTGAAACACAGCAGAAGCCCCAGCCTAGCCCGCCATGGGGAGCCAGAGACATGAGCCAGGGGGATACCAGAGGAGGCAGAAGGGAGCCTGAGCAGGTCCTGGCACAGAAACAAGGGCTGCACATGCACAGGACCTGCACTGCGGGAAGGCTGTCACTGCACCCAGGTGGACAGAGTCTGCACTGGAATGGCAAGACCAAAAGAGTCATGGTGCAATTTTGCTTGCAGCTTTTTTTTTAAAGGTGCAAGCAGGCTGCTGGACAGACTGCTTTTCCACTAGAAATAATCAAAGGCAAAGCAAAACCCTATGCACAATGCAACTATCTGCCAAATCAGTGAGCAACCTGGTTTCAGGGAAGCAAAGGCAGCAATAAAAACCCGCCTGCAGAGCAGCAGAGGGAAGACAATACCATGAGAAAACAATGCAGCGCTAGCGTCCAAGCGAGGACAAGGATGGATGGTGCCTGGAAGGGAGCACCCACATGAGCTGCCTTTGGCAACCCTCCCTAAACAGTTGCCCAAGCCCAGGCTTGCTTAATATCTCCCTAAACAGAAAGGCCTAGCTACAACCAGAGGGACATAAAGAGAGTCTAATCACAGCAGGAGAAGAAAAAGTGACAGCTCTGGATTGCTCCTGTTGAGGGACATCAGCATTTTTAGGCAGCCTCACTGCAAAGTTGCCCTGGTCTCAGGCGTGCCCTTCCCATCCCGCACATTTCATTTTATTTTGCTCAGTAAAAGCATGTCATTTCAATTACATCACATACAAGCAAAACAAAGTTTCCAAGCAGATTTTGCAGGCTGGAGTGAGGCCTCATCCCTAGGCTGCAAGCAACACATGCCCAGGACAACGGATATGACTGAGCACGTTCACCTGAGGCCGCATCAGTTTTCAGGTGGGGACGAGATACAAAGAACACAGAGCATCGTTCTGGCAGAGCCTCCGCCGTCCTGGCTGGCTGCAGCAGGTGAACGTGGCACATGGGGAAGAATGGCCTCCAACATGGGACTCGCTGAGGGTGCAAATAGCTCTCTGCATAGCCAAGCATTCATTCCCTGCCAGGTTTATCCAGCTGGGGAGTTTTCATTACAGCAGCATCCCAAAGCTAGAAATGCAGGCAATACAGAATGGAAAATACTGTGCAACCCTGTTTATTCAGAGAAAGGGGGAGTAGTTGAAGAAGGAATAGTTTTAAAGGCATTTGTCAAGGACGAGGCTTTCATCTGGGCATTTGAGGAATCTCTATGCCCCATGGTTAGGAACTGAATCTACTTCAGCTGAATAAGCCCAATTATTTTCTGTTAAACCTTTTAACTTATCTAACATTGTCCAACTACAGTTGCGATGTGAAATGGCACTCTTCCAAGGCACAGAAGAGAAAGGAGTTACCGTTCTGCCCAGTAAAGAATCCAGACAATTTCATGTCCTCAATAATTACCTGGGAAAGATTTTTCTGCTAGTCCAATGAGTGGAGAACCAGACAAAACACCTCATCTGAGCACCTGAATGTAGAGATGCTTTCAAAAAAGTAAATAAAAAAATAAAAACCTAGGTTGGAGCTGCCTGTTTTCCAATAAAGGGTTGGATACTGCTGAAATCTTGTTAGAAAAATTTATGTTCTTTAGGCCAAGGTGGCACAATCTCAGGAGAACAGCTCACATATCCTCAGCACTGTTACATCCCGATTTGAAAGAGATACACCAGATGTTAGCAGCACATTCTGGACCCCTTGGAAACAACCTGGAAATTATGCTAGTGAAAGTGAGCCTATTAACAAAAGCCTTGCACTAATACAGGGCTTCCCTTTTCCTCTCTAGATAAAGTGGTTGAAAACAAGATGTGGATTATTTGTCAGGTTAATGTCTCATTAGATGCCAATAGCTTGGTCAATGCTAGAAATTGGCCCAGGAGCTCATAGATGGTGCGAGGTCTCTTAGGCCCTGTCACTTAGGGGGAAAAAAAAAAAAAAAAAAAAAAAGCACTAAAGGATGGATGCTCACATGCCTTGGCATCAGTCAGTGATGTGATCTTTCCATTTAAGGACCCAAGAATGGCTCAAAAGTGCTAAATTTGCCACTTCTAGTTGACTATACAAGATGCAAACCCCAGAGACAGATGAGATGAAGGTAGTACAGGACAGGGGCCGTGAAAGTAAACAGCAAAGGTGGTACACTCTTGCAACAAGGAATCTGCCACTCTAAATATCCTTTTATATCAAATACAAAGGCATCTGAGCCTAGATACTGTTCACTTCAGCCTATCTCATTTTGGCATAATTCAATAGATTTGATCCCGAACTGTGACTGATACAAGGAGAACAACAAACAAAAAACCACAACAAGGCAGGCTGTGGTATTGCAAAGCAGACCATACAACTTGCAGGTCTTTACAGTTTGCCTGTGCTCTCCTTGAGTACTTCTAAAGGAAAACTTGCTCAAGATCTCCAAAACATTTTATAATAGCTCATTAATCAGTCTTACAGGTCCTTACAAATCTCACTTCCCTCCAACCCTTTTGTTGGGAAGGTCTATTATATTGCCCCGTTTCCTTATCTGTAAAACAGAGACAAAGAGCTTAATTGATGTAATCAAGGCCAAACTATGACTCAGAACTAGGTCTAGAAATCAGGAATTTCTGGCTCTTGCCCCCTTTTTTTTTCTCCTCTGCTCTCCCTCCCTGCTTCCTCAGAAGCATTTTTAGGCTCCTCATACAACAATTTTACATATTTAGACACCCCCAAACAGCCACTGGGAAATTGAAACTGTCCTGTTCTGAATAACTTTGGAGCATCCCTGCAATAGCTGCAGCTAATCAGCATTCAAAAATATAGGACAAACATGGTTTATCATTTAATGCAAGAATTATAAGAAATGTCTCTGTAGTCACAATCAAGCAGTGAGCCACTGGATGGGATCTCTCAGTTCCTCCTTGGTGCAAACAGTGGGCTTCTCCCTTCAGGGCACCACTACCACTTACCCAATGCAGGGGTTGTCTTGATATCTTGGTGCTGTGTAGGAGAAAGGAGAAATGTTTTTGTCCACAAAAGAGCCAAACCCCAACCGGAAATTGCTAGTGAGCTTCCGCATCTCCTCAGCCAGCTTGGTCCCCAGGTTGCGGATGTTGTCTAGGTCGTCGTTCATGGACAGAGAGAGGTCCATCAGGTAGTACAGGTCCACAGGATAGTCCTCCACTTGCCGAACTTGAACCCTGAAGGAGGTCTGGTCACCTGCACACGCAGAAGAGTTGAGGGCGATGAAAAGTGCACGACTGCTAGAAACGTGGATCATGCAGGGCTCCCTCACACCCACCCCACAGATGCGCCCTCTGACCACGAGGGCAAGTATGCTCTAACAGCTCAGCCTAAATAGTACCATGCATTAGGCTTATAGTCTCTTGCAAAGTGTTTGACCCACTCTTCAAAAAAGTTTCTTGCAGCAAAAAAGCCAATAGCACAAGTGAAATCCAGACAGTTCACTTCCCCTAGTCCCCACAAACATACAAATCACTTGTGGAAAAAAAGAGGGCAAGGGAAACATTGTGTACTTTCAAATCCATTTCTTAGTCTGCATCAGTAAACAGGGGATGATTTGGGGTCCTTTTATGCTTATAGGATACCACACTAAAGAGACACTTCTGCATTGAGTGTGTCCCCATTTTATTTTGGGGACAGGAATTGGGGTCCTTCCACTTTAACTGAAAGAATGTCTAAAAAGCAGACAAATAAAAATACTGCTGTCTCAAACTATTTACAGTCCTTTTTTGCAGAAAACTAGAACAAAAAGGAAGCAAAGTGAACCTCAAACAGGAGGTTTCTGGACCACTGAAAGACCCTTAGCAAGCTTGCTTTAGTATGTCCTGCAAGCAACCAAAGGACTTTACATGAAAGATGAAAAGGAATCGGAGTAGGAAAAGGAAGAGGGCTGGGAAAAAACATGTTGACAGCACAAGATGAATGCAAGAAGGCAAAGACGATAGAGTTGTGAAGAGAAGTCAAGGGAGACATAAAATAACACCTTTTAAGGGACAGATCTTTTGCAAGAGTCATGCCATCATCATTGTGGAGAAAGTAGGGCAAATGGGAAGCAAATGGAAAAAAATATTAATCTTAAAAGGAAATAACCAAAGTAGAGATGAAGCCTTCCAGGGGGGTAAGCACAAATAAGAAGTGGACAGGACAATCACAGGCTGCAAAGCAGGGAAGAGCTGGAAAACCTTTTTCTTGGCATCTCCCTGGCTGCTTAGGCAGTTTGTGGGGTGCAATTTCATCAAGAGGCTCTCCGGAAGGGGTGTTTTGGAGGGGAGCCCACCACCCACGCACCAAAGCACCAGCCACAGCACAGGGCAGTAACTGACCCTTAGAAACAGGTGAAAACCTCAGAATAAGCCACTGCTCAGGCAGACAGAGCTCAGTGGAGCTGGAGGACATGGCCAGTGCAAGCCTTACACTTCACCAGCACTGAGAAAGCAATCTGAATGAAAGCCCTAGGCTTGAGCACTGCCAAAAACCCAGCAAGTGGGAGATCCCACCTCCCTAGCTCTTGCCTCATCCCCTTTTCAAACTCAGCAGGTCCTCAGATTTGGTTCTTTATGATCAAACCTCCCCTTCCTTTCCACCCCTTCCAGCTTTCCACGGCCACAGCTAAACTTTGGTTACCAGCAGGTTCTGCAGAACATTTTTTTTTTTGCTTCTTCCTCCTTCCTCAGAAATGGAAGGCACATTTTTTTATTGCAAAAACATTTCCCTAAAACTTTTATTGTTCTCCTTATTGCTCACAGCACCACAGCTGCTCCCAGTTACTCTCAGCCTAAGAACATGCAGCAGCCTCCCCAAATTACAGAGCTGGGGAGGCAACACACCAAGAGCTTTACAGCCCAGCAAAGAGGCCGGGCACAGATATCAGGGGATGATGCTTCACTCCTGCCAGGGCTCTGTGACCTGGTACCAAGAGGAAGGCACATGGGAAGCATGTGAGTTAAGGGTCTGGCTTTTTGCAAACCAAACTGAAGGAGTTCGGAGCGGGCTCTTTGCATTTCACTATCACTGTTATCTGATCACCTTGGCTAATTCAGCGTGGCTGCACTGAGGTTCCAGAAGAGTCAGAGGGAGTATCTTGGTTTAGCTGTTTCAGGATCCCCCTGCAAGCCTAGATCAAGGGTTGCTTCCAAGTCAGGGCCTCTTTTATGACCCATAATTGCTCTCCCTGCAGCGTGAGCAATAAATGCGCCCCACAAAGGCAGAGGTACTAAGGCAGCCTCTGTATAACAGCAACACAATAGGTGACCAGCTGCCACACAGATACTTCCAAGATAAAGGGTGTAGGAAGCAGTAAACTCTCACAATAAATATTTCAGATAGGAATAGTACTTTCTCAACACAACATTCAGAGAAGTGGTTTGCAGCAGGATATAGATTAGCACAAGGCCTACAGTAAGCAGAGTTATCAAGCTGGCTAAAGCCAATCAGATCTGCCTCATGTTTTATCTGGCATGCATTTTATGGGGAGGAGAGCAAGGAGGCCTATTTATATAGTGTGATACCTGTTAGCATTGATTACAGGGAAAGGAACGAGGAACTGCGGCTGCAATCCTGACTTTCGGAAATCAGTGCTGCAAGAACGTGTTTAAACTGGGCAAAAGTTCTTTCCTTCATCCATATTTTTCTCCATCCCTAACACATATTCCCATTGGGCTACTCAACCTCTTCAGGAGAGGTTGAGATCTGCTTCAGACCTGAGAGTTCCTGATATTTCAGTTTCCAAAAATGCTCTTCCTGGACAGATCCTAAGACAAGAATAAC